CGTGTTTGTGACTAAATGACCCATTCCAGACAGATAATTTATGAGATCTCATTTCTTTCAGTGTTGCATGTTTTCAGAAATTGCATGCTACTTGGTACAATGTTTACAAGTTGAATGTATGACGTACAATGTTTTTATACACGAAAACCATGAACTCACTGAGCTTTATAAGCTGACTATAGTATGCATCTCAGGCCCAGGTAGTTCGAGGACGGATAAAGGCAAAGGACATGCTTAGAGTGTTGCTTATTATTATCTCATTTTAGTCTTTTGTCTAAGATGCGCTGTAATGATCTTTTGTAATTTAACCCCAAGAGAAGGTGGGTTTGAACTTAAGTTAAAAATTCTGATGATTTAAAGACTTCCGCTGTAATAGTTAAATGGTTTTAATTTAGCCATTACTTTGGTGTATTTATTAAGGAAATGTTTCAGATCACGTAACATCTCTCTTGATCAAAAAAAAAAAAAAAAAATGAGGGTGTTACAATGCTAAAGGAGACGGTGTATATTCAGCAACCCCAAGGATTTATCAAGAAAGGCGAGGAGCATAAAGTGTGCAAATTGAAGAAGGCTCTTTACGGCTTAAAACAGGCACCGCGTGCGTGGTTCAATCGAATTGAACAATATTTTTTGAAAGCAGGCTTTGAAAAGAGCAAATTTGATCACACTCTTTTTATCAAAAGGCAAACTACATGAACTGTTATAGTAAGTCTTTATGTGGATGACTTGATTTACACAGGAGATAACCCACAGATGTGCATGGAGTTCAAAAATTCAATGATGTTGGAATTTGATATGACTGGTTTGGGAAGAATGAAATATTTTTTGGGGGTTGAAATAAATCAAGAGGCAAGAGGAATTAGTTTGTATCAACAGAAGTATGCTAAGGAAGTGTTGGATCGATTCAATTTGTGGGAATGCAATGGAGTCAAGAACCCAATTGTGCCGGGAACAATAGTAACTAAAGCTGGCGTGGGCAAGAAGGTGGATGACATCATGTATAAATGGCTCGTGGGCAGTCTAATGTATCTCACGGTCACGAGACYAGATCTCATGTACGCTGTGAGCTTCATTTCAAGGTTTATGGCAGACCCTCGTGAAGAGCATTTGTTGTTAGCCAAACGAATTCTAAGGTACGTGAAAGCAACTTACAACTTTGGGATGTTTTATGAAAGGTGTGATGAAACAAAATTAGAAGTATTTACGGATAGTGATTAGGCAAGAGACTTGGAGGATAGAAAATGTACTTCAGGCTATGCATTCGTTTTAAGTAATGCTGCTATTTGTTGGAGTTCAAGGAAGCAAGAAATAGTCACACTCTCTTCCACA